ATATGCAGCAGACGTTGTGCTGATTTACAGCTCAATCGATCAAGAACATGACGCTAAGCTGCCCCAAATGTTGAGGTGTTGCGTGCAAAAAAAACGTAAAAGTTGGACTTGAGAAATTTGAGTTGCGAAAACTGGAAGTGATTTTTCATGGGCACGTCCGGACATCCAAAGGAATAAAGATAGATCTGGGGAAAATCAAGGTCGTGTATGGGATGCCACAAGCTAAGGATTTCAAAGCTGTTAGTCGTTCAAATGGCACGGTGAATTATTTGAGCCGGTTCTTGCCAGGACTTGCGAAAATTATGACGCCCATCCGGAGGCTGACTCACAAAGGTAAGGTGAAGTTGGGGAAAAGAGCAGGATGCCTTTATAACCATCAAATACATGATCAGCAGAGCACCAGTACTCTGCTGCCATGATCCAGTTCTGCCTTTGGAGGTGCGATGCGACAGCAAGCAAAGCGGAATAGGCACCGTTCCCATGCAGGATGGTAAACCCTTGGATTTCCGCAGTAGAGTGCTCACAGTGGCGGAACAGCGCTACACAAAAATCGAAAAGGAGATGATCGCTGCTGTTTACGTGATGGAGCGAGGAAGATTACCATGTATACTGATCACAGACCGCTCAAGTCAATAGCCAGTAAACCGTTGTACAGTGTCTCTACACGTCTTCAACGGGTGCAAAAATATGACATGGATCTTGTGCACAGTAGAAGGATACAGATGATCATCGCAGACATTCTGTATGACGGTTTGATGTCCAAAGGGAAACACATTTTATCCCACCGTTGATTCGCAAAGAGATGCTGGAACATGCTCCCCGAGCGCACTCGGGTGCCAACTACAGCCTTAGCAGAACACGAGGACTGGTGTTCTGACCGGGCATGACGAGTCAACTAATAGATGAAGTGTCAAGCTGCCTAGCATGCTGATCCCCAGAAGCTAGACAGGTCAGAGAACTATTAATGCTGCATGAGGTTCCAGAAAGTAGCGCTGAACTTGTTCTGTGACAACAACAAAAAACTAACTATTTAAGCAACGCTACCGCCACGGAAGCAGCCACAAATAAATTCAGAGGTCAGCTCACCAGACACGAGATACCGGAGTAACCGATCTCCCACAATGACCCCCAGTGTACTAGTGCTGCTGACACCGTTCGGGCCGTGTTGCAATATGGCAGTGAATCATGGCCAATTCGCGTAGATGACATGCGCCGGTTCTCGGTCTTCAATAATGGGTTCTTGAAGAGAATTGCTCGTGTGTGGTGGCAACAGCATATCTGCGACGGTGAAGTAAGACGTTGTGTTTTACGGAATGTGGGTTTTCCCCTCAACAAGCTGGTTTTACTGCACTAAGCAAGATGGTTCGACCATCTCCCGTGTATGTCAGCTAGGCGTTTGCCCTATCGCGCTTTGTTTGCACGCGCAGGACTCGACTGAAAAGGACCATGCGGTGGTCAACTATCCACCTGGTGACAACATGTGAAATCGTTGACTTCAAGTCTTGCTGCCGTTGGATCCACACGCCTGCCTGGTTGGAGACCTAAGGACGAAGAACGCTGATGGCTGAAAACAGTGGAACATCTGTGTGCAATTATGAAAAAATTGCATGTGAAACAACAAAAAAGGTTCCGTTCTTCTTTCGGTACAATAGCTGAAGTGCGTTGTTCATCTTCAACAAACGTGCCATAATGAGAATGCTGCGGCGATTCCACTTGTCATCCGCTGAATTTTATAGTTTCGTTGGGCTCTAGATCTATTTATTAGACTGTTGATTCTAATACTAGTAGTACTGTGTTCCATAACTTTGCAAATAAGTGGGAATTTTCTTGTCGACAAAAAAGCTGATATCACAGCCAGTCGAACGGAAAAGCAGATGCAGCAGTCAAACAAGCCAAGAGGCGGTTGTCGAAAGCTAAATCCACTCATAAGGACCCGCATCTAATGTTGCTGGAGATTTGCAACACGCCATCAACGAACAGGTATCAGTCCAATGCTACGTCTGTACATTGGAAGAGTAAGAACCCTAATGCCTGCGTCAGCTGAAATTTTACACTCCATTTTGACGTCGCATGAGCAGCTGCAAATGAGTTTGAGAAAAGAGATGACAGACCAGAAACCGCATTATGACCGCAGTACCTGGGCGCTACTCGAACTATCAGTAAACGAAGAAGTGTGGATCCAACCAACACCGGGTGCCCACAAGCGATGGAATAAAGGTGCAGTGACCGCAAAAGTCAGAAAAATATCTTGTGAAGTCAATCCTGGATGGATGATAATCAGAAGGAACCGAGAAGACCTGAGGCGGCACCGGGAAGGAGGTGAACTTGAAGCAAGGCACACAACGGCTTACGGTAACGTCACAACAACAGAGGCAGCAAAAACCACGCGGGGCAGTAGAGTACGGAACCTTAGCGACACTGACGGGGCTGATCACGAAAAGAGGATATGACGGGATAAGGTAGTCAGAGAAACGAAACGGATTTGCATGACGAAGCAAGTGAACAGATCAGATGATTGGACACCTACGCATCTTTGCCTATACGCTGATTGGTTCATAGTTGGCTATGTTAGAATGAGCTTGTTTGAGGGATTCAAAGGAAGGATCCCACGAATGCAGAAGCGTCGTTAGTTAGGGAAGTCACATGGTTATTTACAGCGAAACTTCTACAAGCTAATCATGCCGTCATTTTCACTAGGCTTGCTGTCAGATAGACCGTTTGTCCCTGAAGGACCGAGTTCTGCGACTATACCTGCGGGTGCGTTCCAGAGGACGTTCGCAACGGCGCTGAGAGAACATAGAGACTTGTCAACTGACGAATCGAGATTTTCTGAATGTGTCTCTATGTAAGCCGGCAAGCTGATTGAGTAACTACTCAATGAATACGGTTGAAGAAAACTGGTAGCATGTCCGCCAGAAGTAAGTAGAAGCAGGCATATTCTCACGTGGGAAATCAAATCTCTAACCTGGACATTGGGTCTCTATACAGCCTCTGGAACTTCCGGATGCTTACCGACACATTCCGACTGCAAGCGAACATGATGAAACTCGCAAAGATCTCAGAACAAAATTGCGTACAAACCTGAAGCTAGACCGCGAAGCCTGATGATCTCATGGTGTATCGGAGTTGGAAACAAATGCTGCCGTCGGTAACGAGCGCGAGTTATTCCGTCTAATACGCGAAACGGGCAGCGGGAGACCTGATGTTAACGAGGCCACGCGAGACGAGAGTGGACAGCCGATCCACAACTTGTCAAAAGACTTGGAACGTTGGGTCAAACACTTTGCAAAGCAGTTTAATTAACCTGAGCTGACATCTTTCTCGGGCACTGATTGCCCTTTTTCCTGGGCCGTTTCCATGAATACGCCAACACACGCAGAAGTCGGAAGTGAGATCAGACTGTTGAAATTGAATAATGCCGTATGAGCAGATAAACTTCCTCCATCCCTCTTAGAATTCAGGAGAGCAGCTCTTTTGGAGGACTTGCACAACTTATTTGTGAATCTGTTGGAGTGGGAGATTGTCCCAAAAGAGTAGAGCCACCCGAAAATAGTTCAAATTTTCAAGAGAGGCTACCGTTCGAAATCCGGCTATCATAGAGGAATCAGTCTGATCTCGACTGCCTCTGAGTTACTTTCCCCTATCGTCCTCCACTGACTGACTAGCAACCGTGAAAGCCAGATTCGGGATCAGCAAGAGGGGTTTCGTCGCAGCCGGGGCTGTATCGACCACACCTTCACTTTGGAGCATCGCCATGTTTATTGCCGACCTCCCGTTGTCGTGTTTCTCGACACCAAGGATGCCATCAACTCAATGGATCGATGTGCCCTTTGGGACTCTCTACTCGGGAAAAGTGTGCCCGATAAACACGTAAACACTATCAGAACGCTGTACGTGCATAGTTGGGGTTTGTGGCAAACTGTTGCCGCCCTTCAATATCTCCAGTGGTGCGAAACATGGTTACCCGCTATCGCCTTTCCTCTTCAACTCTGCCATTAACGAAGACATGGAAACGACCTGAAAGATATGGAGCTGCTTCCTAGTGAGTGACCTCTTGACTTGGAGTATGCAGACGACATTCACCTTACCTGTGACAGCTCCCAAACGTGCTAAACTGCAGTGTACAGATTAGCACTGATTGTAAATCGTTTTGGCTTTGCTTTGTTCCCTCGATATGCAAAGTCCTCCAAGATTGGCAGAGACCCGCCACTGCGTTGACTCTTGGTGGTGATCAGCTAGAAGTCGTTCATGGATTCAAGTATCTGGGCAGCTACATTAGCGCCCGTCGGATTGAAAATGAGCTCACGAACCGTACAGCAAAATCTCGAGGTGCTTTTGTCAATCGCCGCCACCTGTAGCGCCGATTCGACATCATTCTTGCCCTGAAGAGCAAAGATTACAATGCAACTGTTCGCTCAACCCTCCTGTGTACGGTTGCGAAACCTGACCCATCAAGTCGACAGACATAAAGAAGCCAGTTACGTTCGACAATAGCTACCTTCGCAGCATAGCTCATGTCTGGTGGGAGCACCGCGTGGGCGGTGAATGTGATCGGTGTCGTGTATTGGGGCAGGAAGAGCGAGTGAATCACTCAGCAACATTATATCATGCATCAAGTTCCGATGGCCGGGCCACGTGCTGCGCATGCCAGCACACCGACTCCCGCGTCGTGCGTTGTTTGTGTGCCCAGAGTCTGGATGGAAGAGGAGGCCAAGCGATGACTTGGTCGAGAGGAATGGAGTCCCTCACTAGGAAGTTGGCGTCAGTTGATGCATCCTGACTGCACGGCTGAGAGGTCAAAGTACGATGAACACGTTTGGTTGGGTACACTTGCTTGCGTTTTAAGCTTCGTTGCTCACCTCCTCCCATTTAGATTCCCTCTCCACTTACGATCTCATACGAAACTCATAATACAATTAAAGGGAAGCGATTGTTTGGTAACTGAGGTGTAACTGACCACGCCATTTTACAACCGGCCACTTCAATGCGAACAAATGAGTTGTTGTTCAGAGTGACCTCTGCATTTCAGTCGCCATGTTGCGCCCACCAGCAGTTCATAGTATGACAACTACAATGCGGTATGTAATATGGTTGTACAGAGTCGCAATTTACAAGATCCAAGCCCAGACGAAGTGAAAACTTGCCGAGTCATTTGGCAGAAAAATCAATGACCTAGGGACGGATGATTGAAAACACATTTGCCGCAAAATCAGCTAGCCGCGGTGTGCCAGCATATGGAGCACCTTACTCAAATCAGAAATGATGAGCTCAGATGGATGAGCAATCAGTCAGTCCATCTAGCAATCTAAAGGTGGAAGGGGACATGCATAGAGGAGGAAGGTATATCGAGATTACAGGTGGAGATGGGGCAGGAAACATAGGATGATTGAGCAAGGTAAAGGGTGTTATGTAGAAAAGGATTTGGCAAATTACAAAAAGAAAGTATGCCACAGTGGAGCAGAGAAGATAGAGTCATCGTGAAAAGATACCCCGCAACAGACTCTCGCGACGTGAAGCACTGGACTTTATTGATCGAGAGTGAGTCATCGTGATATCCGCGTCTGGTACATCTGCTGCGTTCCTATTTGTATCGATATGCTGCAGTATATTGGTGGTACTGGATGGCCGATGGAACAGGTGACCAAGGGGGCCGAGTTTGCGTTTCTCTCGCTTTTTGTGCCTTTTTCTCACCTCATCGTTGTCTTTCGAGTGATTTTTCATCAACGGTAATCGAAACGAGCGCCGTGACTCCTCGGTCGTACTAACTCCCAGATGGCTAGCAGTTTCCCACACAGCGCTGCCGGTGCTTGCCTTTGGTTTGCTGGGTTTTGACCAAAAGCGGGCGTTCGAAAAGCCGGTCAATGCATCGGACGTCTGCGGCACATCCATCGTGCATACGCTGTCCCAGCTGGTAAGACTCACCATCGAACCACCCAGGCGTCCATAAGGCGATGTTTCAGTGGGATCCAAATGGCAGGGCTCTTCTGTCGTGGCAACAACGATCTCGACCGGTTGTCCGTTTGGCGGTTGTGGTGTGGGAGGAGCGTTCTTGCGGAATAAAGGCAGTGAAGATTGGCTGCTGGAATAAGTGGCATGGACCAAGTTGCTGCTACCACTGCATGCGGAGTTGCGTAATGCTACGCCGAACAGGTTGCGTAGGGAGCGACTATTTGGTGTCTGTTGGTGAAGAGAAAGATGAAGGGGAAAAGAGTTACAGTCAACATTGCTCGCTAACTGAACGACGCTGAACGTGTGGGAAAATTCCAGCGGGAAGGCACCGGTTGGAATAGCAATACATTCATCGTCAAAGCACAGGCGGAGCTAATACCTTTTAACCACCTCATGTCAAAAGCGGTGAATTTACGGTGGCTGTCCTTCTTAATGGATGTCATTCAGACGCGTCGTAAGTCCCATTACGTTACAGTTGCCTGCATACATTTTATTACTTCGCCACTGAAATAAGAAGCATGACTGGCAACGAAAATGACCTGGGAACTATTCCCTGAGGTATTTACAATCGGAATAGGAAGTAGTGGGCTTGGTTAAAACGGTCACTTTCATGAGGCGTGAAGTGATCTTGCAGTGGTCTGGCCGGTGTACTCAATTTGCAAGGCAAAAGTGGTAAACTTGATTACTGTATGTTGGAACTGCAGCGCACTCAGAACGTGACAGGTGTGTAAGAACGACATTTAATCAGATGAGACGGATAGGGTAGGTGACCAGGAGCAGCTAGAGGAGGCTTCCAGTTGATTTCGAAAAGTACCTGACTCACGCTGTACTGTAGGGGTCCGACAGTGTGTATCAACCAGATGGGATAGTCTTAAAGTAATGTATGTCAGGTGTTGTACTGTATTACATGTCGATTCGCCGTCAAAGATGTGGGTACATAGGCGGGACGGACAAGGAAAACGAACACGAGACTGAACTTGCGAGGAAAACTCCAGCGTGAAACAAAGCTAAGGGGGGCGGAAGTAGGTCTGGTTCGTGTTCGTAGTGGAGTCGACGAATGAGTGGACTTACCGATTGTTGTCATGACTCCATTCTTCAAGGAAGCCCATATTTACCTTACTGATTAACAAACATGAGTACAGCATCGAGCAAACGGTATTCCAGAGATTCGGGCATCCTTGGGGGGGACGACCTCGTGGTCACAGAAGCGAATATGCGATAATTCGATATAGGAGTTATATTACTAATTAATAATTAGTAGTCTAGTAGTAAATGTTTTTCATGAGTAAAGAAAGTGCAGTCAACTCCCAGTATGCGTTGAATTCCCTGATCTCCGGTGTCCGACCCACGGTAACATTGCTTCTGTGAGCCTTTGCTAATTCAAAAGAGAGCAACCGTAACAGAAAGCAACAACGACGAGACGAATAAACAATTCAAGTTGCAGACACGCGATGTAACAACATACCGTCACTTGTCCCTGGGTTGTCACGTTGATGGTCATGCTACGCGGAAACAGCGCCCGGGGCTCGTCCACATGGGATGATTGATAAGCGGTTAGTGGAGACTGGGTGCTGAATGGAGGAATCGACGCGGCAGATGCAAGACGCAAGCTACGCCCAGGAGTGAAGGGTGACAGAGGGGGAGTGGGGGACCCGGCATCCAGTTCTAGGTCCGTTTCAGCAAGCGGAGCAGGTCGATGCAAACCCGTATTGGTTGACGCACGTAAATCACCGACGGAAGTGAGCGGGGAAGGTGCGGTAAGCATTGTGTCAGCGCACACAGCGGCATCGACGCTGGCACTGCGATTGAGGATACCTGGAGAAGCAAGCAGATTCGTGCTCGCCTGTCGACCTGAGCGATTCAAAGCGGATGATGCGAAAGAGGCAGTGGTGCTGGTTCGGTGTAACCAAGCGCTACTCGCGCCAGCGATGGAACGGCGAAAGTTTTTCAGACCAGCCAAAACGGATCTACACACGCTCTTCCGTTGGCCGTGTAGATCACGCTCGGACAAAAGAACCGAACTGCGATCAAATGGGCCACGACGAGAATTAGTGTCTCTGACGCCCGGGGGTTGTGAACTAGTGCGCGCGGTTCGAAAGTTGTTCGCACCATCCTTCGTGTGAGATGGTCCTAGATCCAGAGTGTTTGATCGGAGAGAGGTGGATGACATGACTGAATCGGCGCATCTTGCCGGCCAAAATGCAACTCCAATGTTGCTCGAAGCGATCGATGCACAGTCCGCGTCTGGGTACTCGTCCACATCGTCGTCACCCAATGAGGAGGCAGTCATTTTGTGTCCATCTCGAAGAGAAAAGGACTGCGTCTGGGACACGGCTGTGTGGGGAGTCCGCATTAGATTGAGCATTGACATGGCAACTTGATCGGCCGTGGGCGTGAGTGGAGGGCGAGAGGAAACATACTTTTGCTTCTCATGCAGAGGAGTGCTAGCAATTCGATCTACACCGGCATCATCTGCTGATTGCGTAGCTTCGCCACCGACCATCGATACGCGTTGCTGACAGGTGGGTGAATGAGAGAGAAAAGCAGTGATTGCGAAGCCACATGGATGCAAAACAGGCTTGACTTATGCCATCTAAATAATAATAATAATAATAATAAATCAGGATAAATCTGAAAGAAATATAATCGCCAGAGTCATAAGTGGTGGAATAATGCAAGTTCACAACTGAATATCGTGAACGATAGCGTACTCGATTACCAACGTGACTGGTTCCCAGTACTCCAGCTAGGAATACCAACCCACTCGGGCTTTCAGTGGGTTCCTTCATGCTGTTTTGCTGTGTCATTGGCTGTCTGCTTCGGGGTATCGCCCAACCAGGCAGTGTTGGTGATCCTAGACACACCGGGGAACATGGCTAGAATGCGAGGCCTATGACCGAGACGCTGGAGACGATTCGAGTTCAACAGGCACTCCGATGAGGCACCGGATGGCCTGTTGCCAAACAACCATTGACAAATTCTAACCTTACTCATTCGGTACGCTCACCGATCCGTAACATTACAGATGGAAGGTAGGGGACACGAGATCGATTGCATCGTCGTGCCCTCCAGGTTAACGCCTCTGATGCTGGTAACTTATTCCCCTTCCCATCTTACTGCGTCTCTGTCTTTCAGTATCTTTAGCATATTTTTATCTTGTCGGTGATGTGCGGAGATATGGTAAGCCATTCCGTCACACATTGAGTACCGATTTATAGTTGAAAACTAAACTAAACCAAATAACTGTTGATGTTGGTCAATCAAATGATAGACACTAGCTGAAACTCGAATTGAACATTCAGCTCTTACCTCATTGATATTCACGTAAAGCTAGAGTATCCCAAAAAGTTCCATTTGTGAAGTCAAATAAATCCCGTACGACCCCGCAGATGTACAAATACTGGGCGCATAAATGGCATACAAGGTAGCCTTCCAAATGTGACAAATCCCACTGTGGGGGATCTAACAGTGACTAAAGAGCAAGCAGGTTACCTGAGAAAGAAGAGCATGCTAAGGACAAACATCCACTGAACGAACGGACACACAGAGGAAACGGTGAGAATTAAGCCGATAATTCTTTCGAGGACGAAAACATCACATCCGTGTCATAGATATCGTTAAAATGAAGTGAGTTCAAACGGCACAGTGACACCCAGCTCACCCCGAGTAAAGTTCCAAGAACAGAGCGGCGGGGACTTGAAGTAAGACTGCAGCCGTAGGTAGGATCAACCGCACCGCTAGTATATGGGGGCAGCTGCAGACCATACTGCCGGCTCGGAGTGGCTTGTGCCATGGAGCGCTGTTTCGAGGGCGCCGCTCCTGCTCGTCGAGGTGTTTTGATTGAGATGTGGCGCGTTAGTTGACGACTGAATCTGTTGACAATAGAAATATAGGTGGATTCAGAGGGGGGGGGGAAATATAAAAGAGGTGTGCAATACCGTGCCTCAAAGTAAATATTGGGTGGGAGGCAGTTGGAAATTAAGTGAACAGGATTGGCAGTAAAATACTCTAGACTGGAAGTTACCGACGACGGGAAGTGACGAACTAGATCATCGGTATAGAGAAGCTAACAGGCAAGTATGTATCCCCAAACTGTAAATGGGAATACAATCAACTATGAGAAATTGTAATGTAAAAGCCGGTCTACGAACCGATTGGGTTAGCATGAGGAGCGGTGCAGATGTAAGAGAGCACAATGTGGTACCCAGCTGCTGCAGATGTACTTCAACTATGTCGGAGGAGCAGCGAACGCAGCTGGTAACTGCAATATTCCATATGGATGTGCTTATTCCGTGACAGTTGTCTTAACGCGTCACGTTAATAGTCACATTGGCAGGTTAGTATCATGGTTTCTGGAAGCGGATTACATTCCCCACGACGTTAACAACAACCCTTATTTTTCTTTAGCTACATCTAATGGTAGCATAAACTGGTCATTACTTAGCGGATTTTCAGTTAAAGTGCTGGTTGTACTTTGATTGGTATCCGCTTCTGTGCACCTTGCTCCATCGCCTCTCCTTAAAATGTAGCAAACCAATGCCAAGAATCACGTCTCTATTCTTCTTCTCCGTTGTCACTGCTACTGAAATGAGTGGGAGCAGTTCGCGAATCTGACACGACAACTTACGTAGGTAAACGCGCGTTGGCGCACGCCTGATGCATACATGGCCCTGTTACATCTGATGCGAACGCTGATAGATTACTGCCTAAAGATCTGCCACTCTTCGCTGGGGTAAATGACAGGAGCAGTGTTCGTGACCGTGTTAGGGTTCAAAGAGTAATCTACTCGCGGAACAGATAACGAACCAATAACAGCAATCCACTCGCGGAACAGACTTTGTACCAACCACAGCATTGTCTACGTCTGGTGGAGTTATTTTCCCTGTTTAGATGAGCATGGCTCAGCTCCGAACTGATCATCCACGTGTCCCGTAATCGTATTCCTTTCGATTTACACTGAACATTGGGTGGTGTGAATGGAACTATGAGCGATGTAGGTCAACCTACGGATGGTCCTTACGCAGGCACAAGTGTGCTGTGATTGTACGCATTCACAGAGGTAGGGGCAACGGATACCACAATCTGTGACAAACCGCGAGAAGCGCAAGAAGATTCATGAATGTGGAATGAGAGGCGGGTGCGTAGTAAGTCAAACAGATAGTTGCGCTCCGGCTGAGTTGATGAAGCACAGGTTTGAGCAATAGACACATATTTAAATGGTAATGGCGATTTGAATAGTTTCGACGAAAATTGTTAAGGAAGCACTTCAAGTCAAGGCTAATGCTTAACTGAATCCTTTTACCACATTTTGAGACCAAGTAGCGGGCACTAACGAAGCCTCTCGAGATTAGATGGTGTGGGTTAGAACATTACTCATTACAGGTTAAGCACCAGTTTGCAGAACTAACTCTTATTTCGCTAGAACACGATGTTGAAGTGAAATGTGTCTGAGACCAACAGAGAGAAATAGAGCCTGTGGCTTGAAGTGTCTACAACGGCAGTAACTGATGGCAAAAGAAGTTTGTGTGCTAGAAAGAAGAAAAAGGAGTTTGAGGCGTGTTTAGCACAAGAACGTGATTGCACTGGCCACAGTTCCACGTGAGAAAGCAATAAGATGTTCGCGACATAAGAAGT